GTGAATTGTTTGGTTTAGTTATATTGGTAAAGCGTCCTACATGTATTAACAGCTGAGGTGCTATAAGGACGTAACAATGGTGAATTGTTTGGTTTAGTTTTATTGGTATAGCGTCCTACATGTATAAACAGCTAAGGTCCTATAAGAACGTAACAATGGTGAATTGTTTGGTTTAGTTTTATTGGTAAAGCGTTCTACATGTATTAACAGCTGAGGTGCTATAATGCCGTAACAATGGTGAATTGTTTGGTTTAGTTTTATTGGTATAGCGTCATACATGTATAAACAGCTAAGGTCCTATAAGAACGAAACAATGGTGAATAGTTTGGTTTAGTTTTATTGAGTAAAGCGTCTACAGCTAAGGTCATTTGAGAACGGAACAATGGTGTATGTCAATATGAAACATTTTTGACATCGGTAACAAAATGAAATGTATTAGGTTTCAGTTTCAATATTTATGATATCAACAGAAAAATATACATATAAGATAACTAGAAGAAACGGCTTACTACAGCTGTGAAAGGAGCGTGACGGTTTCTGTTTTCCTATCTTGAACGTTCCCTTCCTTGATAGTAACATTCCTGTTACCCTCTGACGATGTTTACATGTTACAGTAGATAAAACGGTATTATGATTACTGTCAAAATAATACATTTTGAGATATTTTGTGTCATAGATCATAGAACTTTGGTATACAGACTAGTAAACACTTTTGCGACATTAGATGAGATAGCTTAACATACGTTTATCTTCCCTTGTCTGTCACATATATCGAAATATGACACAAAGATATGTTTTGCAGGACTTTTATATGAAGTATGCATTCAAGCATATGTGCATTCCTCAAAGATATTTATCAAACGGATAAAGAGCAACGATTTCCAAACCTAGATGAACACCTAACAGATTCAGTATTTAGGGGTTTACTCCGAATATCACGAGTTTCGTGATAGATGCCAAATGCTTACCAGCAAACTTACAACACGGTTTTTCGAAAGATACAGGTTCATAAAGGTTTTGAGAAAGTTTCATGGACATCATAATTATTTTATTTTAAAGCATTCATTTTCCGTGTGTAGTATGAATACCGACGTTTGTTGTTTTGCTAGTAATTATAATTAGTTGTTTTGCTAGTAATTGTGATTTGTTGTTTTGCTAGTAATTATGATTTGTTGTTTTGCTAGTAATTGTGATTTGTTGTTTTGCTAGTAATTGTTATTTGTTGTTTTGCTAGTAATTATGATTTGTTGTTTTGCTAGTAATTGTGATTTGTTGTTTTGCTAGTAATTATAATTTGTTGTTTTGTTGTCACTGCCCCGGTTGTCACTTTAGTTCACCACTGATGAGTCCTACATAGACTAAATATCCATATTGTACAGTAAAATGTTTGTTTGGACTTTCACCACTGTAGAACATAATTGACTCATCCAGATTAATGCATGGCAGAGTCTACTTAAGCTACATGGGGTGAAAGGGTTAATAATAGGTGCTTCATTACTTCGTATTTCTAGTTGCACTATGCTTGTGTGGACTATCAGTCGACGATCATCTGATTCTTGAAATTTATTCCGGCACAATTTACATGAAAATTGGATTCAAAAATAAATTGTCATGTAGCCAAAAATAATAAATGTTAAGGCTTTAAGTAGAATTTTAGGCACTTTTTTATTGTTACATATGCATTCTTTTGTGGGGGCCGCGTTGGCCGAGTATTTAAGTCATCGTGTACGCTCAGAACATACAACTGTGCATCATTGTCCGTGCTGTGGTTTGTTTCCTCCTTGTCATCCCTGCTACAGGCCCTCGTACCCACATTGATCTATCATGATGCCATCCTTCCATTCTTCTTGATTATGACTGGAAGGTGAATAATGATCTTTGTGGGAGTTACCACTTCCCAATTTTTCTTAATAATATTGGGACTCCTCTTGATGATCCTCTACCTCGATGGAATATGCACAAAGCAGATTGGGTCCAATTCCAACACAGGTGCAATGAGAAACTAACCACAGAAAATTTTACTAACCTCGACGACCCAATCAAAACTTTTACTGAAACACTCTTTTAAAACACGCAGTAATCGGGCAGCTGCTCTAAGACGTGACTTGAATTGCCCAACTGCTTCAAACTACAGTGATTTTAAAATTTGGAGGGCAAAGGCTCGGCGATCAATTAAAATTGACAAAAGAAACAGCTGGAGAGAACATGTATCCAAGATATCATCAAACACGTCCTCAAAAAAAGTATGGGATATGATTCGGAAAATAAGTGCGAAAAAGAAAAAGTCAACATCCTCCCACCTCATCTAGGGTTGAAATTGCTGATGCATTTTTGCAAAAAAACATAACTAAAAACTCATCCCCTTTAAACCACTCCCGAAAATTCCAGTCTTTAAAGAAAAAAAGGGAAAAGAAACGACTAAATTTCAAATCATCACACAAAGTAAGTTATATTGAGCCATTTACCCTACCAGAACTTGTTGATTCGCTTAGAAAATCACAGGACACTGCTTCAGGTCCTGATGCTATTCCATATCAATTTCTCAAGCACTTATCAGACTCGTCACTAACATGACTTCTTTACATATTCAACCAAGTTTAAGCTTCCGGAAAAATTCCCGATTCGTGGAAGAACTCCACAGTTAAACCTGTCCCAAAACTGGGAAAGGATACTACCGACCCAAACAACTATCGTCCTATTTCTCTGCCTAGCTGTGTATGTAAAACTTTAGAACGAATGATAAACACAAGACTGGTTTGGTTTCTTGAGGCCAACGATATAATATCCCCTCTTCAAAGTGGTTTTAGAAACAGAAGAGGGACAAATGACCATCTCATCAGATTAGAGAATTCATTCGAGAGGCTTTCGCCAAGAAGGAACGCCTTGTCGCCGTGTTTTTTTATCTTGAGAAGGCCTATGATACTACATGGCAGTATGGCATCATGAAAGATCTTCACGACATTGGCGTACGTGGAAACCTTCCCAATTTTATATCTAATTACCTATCAGATAGACACTTCAAAGTCCGTTTTGGTTCAACTTTTATGAAATGTCTAAACAGGAAATGGGAGTCCCACAGGGTGGAATCCTATCAGTCACCCTGTTTGGTCTTAAAATCAATGATATAGCCAAATGTCTTGGTCAATCAACAGAAGGGTGGTTATTTGTGGATGACTTCTTGATCTGTTACAGATCTAAGAACATGCACACGATAGAACGACAACTTCAACAGAGTTAAAACAAACTACAAAATTGGACAGACTAAAACGGCTTCAATTCTCTAAATCTAAAACTGTGTGCATGCATTTCTGTCAAAAACGAAAAGCACACAATGACCCAAATCTTACACTCGATGGCACTAGAATTCCTGTTGTTGAACAGACTAAATTTCTCTGTCTCATTTTTAATTCAAAACTCTCTTTCAAACCACATATAAAGAATCTGAAGGATAAGTGTTCCAAAGCGTTAAACATTATACGAGTCCTTTCTCATACTGATTGGGGAGCGGACCGTGAAATGCTTTTGCGCCTATACAGATCACTTATTCGAACAAAACTAGATTATGGTTCTATGGCATACGGGTCGGCGCGGAGTTCGTACCTGCAGATGCTAGACCCAATCCATAACCAAGGGCTACGTCTAGCCCTTGGAGCTTTTCGAACAACACCTGTAAAAAGCCTGTACGTTGAAGCAAATGAACCATCCTTTTACGACAGAAGGAAAAAACTTGCATTACAGATTGCAGCTCAATTAAAATCAAACCCTAAAAATCCTGCTTTCGACCAAGTATTCAACCCAAAATACCAAAACATATAAATTTACGCAAAACCAAAACCTTCTGCCAACATTTATTATCCGAATTTCAAATTTCCTGCAAGAACTCAACATAAAGTTGACTGACATAGCTGAATTTAACATATCTGATGTTCCTCCGTGGACCATTCAAACACCTGATTTTAACTTTACATTACATGAGCGAGGGAAATCAAGTGTTATGCGGGAAGAACACAAATCCTTCTTTCGGGAATGCATTTCGAATTACCCTTCTCATACACAACTTTACACCGATGGTTCCAAAGAAGGTGATAAAGTGGCAGCAGCCTGCTGTACTGCTAATGCTTGCACTTCAGTTCGACTACCAGATGACGCATCCATCTTTTCTGCCGAAGCATGCGCCATAGGTTTGGCCCTCGACCATATCGATGAACACCGCATTAAAAAGGCGATCATTTGTTCTGACTCTCTATCTGTCCTACAGAGTTTACAGTTACGAGATCCTAACAACACACTCATACAAAACCCTGCTCTTCGAATATCTCGTTTCTTAAATAAGTCAAAAATAACTTTACTATGGATTCCGAGCCATGTCGGAATTAAAGGCAACGAATGTGTTGACAGGGAGGCAAAAAATGCATTAAATCTCCAACAAACAAATATCAAACTACCATAGACAGATTTTAAACCTACTATTCGTACAGCCATTTAAAATGAATGGCAGCAACGCTGGTCTCTCGAGACCACCAACAAACTTTTAAGGTACAACCGAAACTGAAAACATCTATTCCAAGTCGGAAAGATCGTAGAGAGGAAGTTGTCCTCACTCGGCTCCGTACTGGGCACACATATCCTACTCATTAGTACCTTTTAAAACGAGAGGATCCACCTTCATGCCACGCATGTGACACTCCATTTACAGTGGAACATTTTTTAATAGAATGTTCCGATTTTAAACACATTCGTGATAACTACTTTCGAGTCCCGGATATGAAAACTCTTTTCAGTTCCGTGGACTCGAAGGCATTATTCAACTATTTGAAAGATATCGGTCTATTCTATAGACTCTGATGTCTTTTAACCCACCTTACCCTTTTTTGACGTTATATACATCACATATTCCATATCATCTATTCGTTAACTCTTTTATTATTTTACCCCCTTTCTATTTTCATTATCTACACTTACAATGTGACTGCTTTTAAAATGAACCTTTTTATCTGATTTTATCTTCGGTACTCATATGTTTGTTAAAAAACCAAATCGCTATGGTTACCGATCGGTCTATAACTCTGAGATCATTATTTCGGAATCTGCTGACGTTACCTGCCTAAAATGTTCTAATTTACCCCTGCTGTTCCACGACGTCTGTCTTGAGTTTATTAGTTTGGTCTGGTTTAGCTCATATGATTCACGTGCTTCTGTTATCACGTTACACTGTTAGAAATACGGACACACAAAGAGCACACCACTTAACAAATTCCAACATTCACGTGTTTACAAAAAGTTTCAAGTCATGTCAAAATACTACAAAAATAAATACATATTTCTGTTTTTTAATGTTTAACGATAAACAGAACTTATGTCGTGATTTGATTAATTAATCATTTAGCACCGTTGCCACCGCCTCATCTCCTCCATTCATAAATATGTTGATGGTATCTCCATGTTAAACGATGTCGTTCGGGTAATTCCCGAAAATCTGTAGAATCCCAGCCCGCATTGTTGCTTCTTTTGGTGCATAAAGATTCCACACACATAAGTTAAACGCAGCTAGGGATAAAACAAGCCCAATTACATCTCAACGAAGAATTTACACATAAATTTCGTCGCTGGTGATTCCTTCGAGATGAAATATTTCCATAGCGAAAGACTCGTAACTTCCGGTCTCGTCGTCAAACTCGTCGACCTCTCGCACAATGTCGTTCGTAATCATAGACAATTGACATGATGATGAGGAAGGAAGGCTGACTGTTGAAAATTTCCGTCGACCCTCCACACGACCTTTACGAGGGGTAGACGACTGCCCTTCTAGTCTCATTTTCCCGATCTGCTGAGCGAGGTAAATTTCCGGAAGTGACATACACCTACCGGGACCTATATCCGGTACGTCTGACTCTGTCCATCTGTCTGAAGTGTAATCAAACTCCATTCCGTAGTTATCGCGCCCTCCGTCAGGTGTCGTTTTGCTGTGTCGTCTTATCCGTAATTTCGGGTGTTTATTTCGCCACCTGTTTAATTCCATAATTTGACATTATTTACTTTTATCATTTCAACAATACTTCACAGCGCCTATCCATATCCTGGATTTTTTCCATCATATCTGATCACGCAACTTAAAAAACTAATCATAAATAGATTTTGGTTCTACCGAGGCATGGACTGAGAAGGGATATTACCTCCTAAGGTAAGGTGCTTCGCTTATTAGAGATCAAACATTTTCCTATTTACTTCCGGATACAAGGAAATAAGTTAAGAATTGGAAAAGTTAATAGATATTTAAAATTTAACCAGCTGTTACTATACTTACCACTTACGACCAAAATACACTACAGTCAGTGTAAATAATATAAATGCTACCGCCAAGGCACAAGATACGGCTACGGTAACTGTAAATAAAATGAAGTTATAGTTATAGCCCGCATAGAGGTGGTGATATGTTATGCTTTTACATGGTTTGAAATTCTATATTATGATATGCTATGTTTTTAAATGTTATGTTATCAGTCCTAGAAGGACGCAACATCTATGTGATGCAGTGTAATCATTTAGTTTGGCCTACTGTGTCTATTGTAAAATTGTAAAGGGCGTGATCACCTATGTGTGTGTTAGGTTAATTTTTGTGGTAGAATATTAAGTTTTGATATAATAAGTTATTCAGTGGAGTATTTTTTATGTTTAATAAATTCAACAGTTTGATATGTTTTGATATTGCTTATGATACATATATGATGTGTTATAAACTGTTATTTGTATGTTTATATTGTCAATCCTTATGATTTTAATAGTTGTTTCGTTATGACATTTGTCTGTTGTGAAATGTTTTGTAATGATGTATTATATCATGTAGTATACTACGTAATATATACTACATGCAAATACATCTTCAATACCTCAGGGGTTACGCTCACTTTCGCTCTTAACATCCCTGGAATATATCATGACAAAATCGAAGACTCATTGTGCACCACCTTGTGGATGAAACGAGAAGACTAGACTGATCCATTGAGGTACATCCAAAGAATCGCGCGGCACAATAACGGTAAAATTGATCAGCCTTGAAGTCGGGCGTCGCTCCTTGCCTAGCGATTGTTCAGGGTTTTTTTTACCCGAGACTAATCAAATAGTTATCTTCGTTCTCTCACTTTTGCCATGACATAATTCAGAGTGCAGAGAGGGTAAGTGAGCGTGACCCCTGGAATATCAAGGCTGAATTAAACTTAATGATTAAGATATCTTATATAATGAGATTGTGTGTTATCGTATGAGATGTTATAATATGAGATATATTATGTACTGTTATATAAAACCATGAGAAGATATATTATGTACTGTTATATAAAACCATGAGAAGATACAAAATGAGATTGTGTGTTATTGTATGAGATGTTATTGTATGATATTGTGGTTTAGGGTATGATATGTATATATATATATATATTATGTACTGTTATATAAAACCATGAGAAGATATGTTATGAGATTGTGGTTTAGGGTATGGTATGTTATGATACCATTTGTTATGAAAGGTTGAGTCATAAATATTTTATGAAGTGTAATGTTAAATAAACGACTTATTTACGAAAATAGTCAATGAGTATAAGGAGATAAAAATGAAATCAATAATGTCACAAAACTTTACAGAAAATAAGAATACTTTAATCATATATACGACACAGTAGGCAGTTCTTAACCAACCTGAACATTCAAATACAGACATGTACACTATTAACTAATGCTGTTAAAAATACGGGAACATAAAGTTTGAATTTTAATGAACCGATACCTTCATATTGCCAATAATATACGTGCAAAAAAATAAAATATAGAACTTACCGGCCGACACTCCATTGTTATCAGAAGGCGCGGAGCAATGAACCTTTATTGTCGAAAACAGTGGGAAAGCTACAAAATACGATATATTACAGTGATGAGATACACATTTTCAAATAACCGTTGTCTTCAGCGTCCTTTTGAGAAATATCTCACATTGGTGTCAGTTTAAATTAGTTTTGTTTTTGATTTCATCTTGATGTTAAGTTCAATTCCAAAAAGGCATGTCGACAAAGATCAATTCACGAAGATACACATCTGAAATTATTTAAACCGGTCGCACCTTCCTGAATACTTTGATCATGACGTGCATTTCCGACTCTCCACACCTGAGTCACTTGCATTTCATTCCATGATGTTTCAATCATAATGAGAAATTATCGAATGTATTAGGTTTCTTTGGTCACCTTTACATATACCTGTGTACTTAACCCAGAATCCTCTTGGGTAAGAAGTGAAGTGAACGCGCGCATCCGATGTGTCACCGGAACTCGAGAATTTCACGTGTATGGTAGAGGAGGAGTGAAGGTCGACAGTCGTAGTAAACCATGCCTGAGTGTCTAAGACTTGCACTTTTCCTGTTATAATTAAAAAAGGAAACATCGAGTGTCTTTTAAACATTTTAAAACTCTCATTTTCAGCCTGAAACATCTTTAAATGTTTTCTTAGAAATATTCTGAATATCAGAAGTGTGTTGTTCGAAACTTTTTGTTCTTTTATAAAGTGTGTTCCCTGTTTCATAGGATTGTAATGGTTTCATCCTGAAACGACATAGATTCTATGTTTCCTAGAACTTAATAAGACCATTGGATACGGGTTTTTTCAATATCTTTTGTATTGGGACGTCTTATAATGACGTCGTTTGAAGTGAAATGTCTTTTTGTTTTCTATGATTGAAATATCTCTCCATCTGATAAAAAACAACTTGTCAAAAGACTCTGGCTGTTGCAAATAAAATTTCACATTTAATTTCAAACCAATTGGAATAAGTCATTAAGCTTTATAAAATCCGTGTCTTTTATCTCAAATTCGTATAAGACGTAAATAATTAAAAAAAGTATGCAAATATATAAAATTCATATATGTACAATTATTTGTATGTCCTTTCAATTTAAAGATTCATAAATAACCTACAACTAACCTAGCTAAACATGCAAATGTCGTAAATTACCCTTTTCATCTATGACCTCAAATGTCCATCTTGGTTGCTGGTCTGTGAGGACAGGATTGATAAGAACAGCAGTCATAGTCACTATACCATTATCCGAAGCTATCAACTCACACTGACAGCCATTTTGTTGTGACGATGGTGAGCCTGGGAATCCCGGACTCGTTAGGAACCCGGATGTCACGCCCGAAATCTCGGTTTTGCTGCACACGTTGGTCAGTCTGTTAACTGTTTGTTATGAAAATGGGGGACACATAAAAAGCACATAAGACTTGGTAAAAACACTATACTCATTTTAATGTTTTATGTTTTCATGTGTAAATTGATCATGGATATCCATCGCTTAAGCATTTTTTCTATCATGAGCTGTCATCTCTATTCACACTTAATGATATGACACTTTTCGGGTGAATGTAACCAATCTCCTTCCCCGGCCGCTAGCACTAAAATGAAATACATATATAGTATTGGTTCCTGTATATGAAACTTATCAAGTAATATTTTTGAATGACGCAATATCAACAGAACCAAGCGATTTAACTGAAGACAAGAATTTAACGTCCACAACTGTATGTAATAAGTGTTTCAATAGATTACATGGCATAAATGACTACAGCGACTATTGAGCTGATGACTCAAATGTCTCTGAGGAGAGCGCCACTAACGGTAAAAAGTAGCAAGAATATTAGTGCCTCCTAGATATGCAAGGGACTTAAAATCAACTAGCATCACTTCCATGGATAGATTTAGTTATCCAATCAGAATCCACGGTTTTATCTGGTGGAATACTCTTGCAGTAGGGCAGGATTAATGTAAAAATACCTGTCAAACATTCGTAGCGAACGTGGACCAAGTTTGAAGAAGATGACGTATTACAATTTCCAGACAGGAAGTCATGGCCGATCAAATTGTCCCGCCAAAACGTGTATTGTGCCGTCTGCCTGCCGTTGAAGTAAATATCATGTTGTTGTGTGGAAGCACGGCAGTATTGATTACAGAGGGGGAGTTCGCATGTGGACGCCGAAATAGACCCTGGCCAGTCGGTCAAGATCGTCTGATGTATGTAGATCACTTCAGATTGACCACAGGTCAAAACCAGTGGCATATTGACGTGGGAGCATTTGGTATGGATGGAACCTGTGGACAAAAAACAAAAACCCATTATATTAAATTTGATTTGAATCCATGAACAGGTTTGGTCCTTTTTAAAGGGACAACGTCATGATGCCAACATGTTAATTGGTCTTTGTTTTCTAGAAAGCAATTCAAGAATTCTGACTTTCTCTTTCTATGTCGTTTAAAAGGAATTCCACCGTTGGCTTGTGAACAAAGAATTGTTGGATATGATGTATCTTTACCATACGTCTAGGTAACTGTGCCATCACCTGTTTCTTCTTTTCAACATATACGTGATGCCTTCCTATTAAGGTGGAGTCCACTTCTATGCTAAAAATCATATATGGTCGGCCTACGCAGCGATTGTTTTCAAAATTTGAAACACCTTAGCCAGACTGCAGACAGTATTGAAAATAATGAACTCGGCTACCTAAGGACTTATTTGGCCAAATGGGAGCTCCTTGAAGTACTCCGGCTTAAGACATGAAGTTATACTTACTCAAGAGCCTGAAACATCACTATTTTAATATAAAGCTGATTTTTCCTTAAAATGCTGTTGCTTAGATGTAGTAGATCATTTTTGTACTTATTTACGGAATCTGTGAAGCCATTACTGGGTTCTTTGTGTCAAAACTGAAGTCCAAAATGTGCTAAAAGGATCACTTGGCACAACATCACCTTCCTCGTGTTATACTTTGTTTTTGCAGTCCACCAATTTTAAATCGCTTTAAATTATGCTACAAATACATGTATATATATTATTTTCATGGTTAAAATATTTTTAAACTCTGAAATCGGTTTATTTCCAACACTTTATATGAATTGACCAATATTTTTGAAAATTTGCCATTTATCTACCTGCATGTAACCCATTGCCAAATTCATTAACTATTGTTCTTGTAGTAATATTTGCACATACTTAGTCACTTACAGATTCCCACACATGACTAAAAACAGGTGTGTCCCAATTTATGATGTTCTAATAGGTCATATTATACCTTGCTGTTCAGTTTGACATACCCAACTGACGCGCAAAAACCTTCGTTAAGTATACGATATAAGCTTGTCCCCTATTCATGCACAGTATCTGTATTGGAAAAAGTTGCAAAATTAGGTTCAAAGATTTTAACAAGAATATGTGCAAGTTAAGAAATATTCTTCAGCCACTGGATGGTTAGCTATGTGAATCGCTCAAAACTAAGGGAACTGATTTTATAAAGCTGAACACCTTATCTAGGTATATCTCTGTAGCGGCCACGTTCGATGAACAGATCATGCGCACATCATCGTATCTTAGAAATATGTTTTAAGCAACACCAAGTCATAAGGTTCCTATTTCACAAACTAGTAACTCTTGACCAATCAGTCCATGCATTTGGAAAGCGATGATGAAAGCAGCCTTTGTCTTTATGAGTATCTGTATACTGCAATACGATTGATTTATTATCCCCCGCTTTCGCCGAAACGGGTGATATTAATTTGGATTTGTCCGTCTGTCAGGCACGCTTCGTTTCCGTGCAATAACTGCAACAAATGCTAATCGATTTTCTTCAAACTTGGAAACAGGGTTAAATGCCTTAAGGGCTCGGCCAAGGTCAATGACCATTTTCAGCGGACTTTATTTGGCAGAGTTATGGCCGGTTGAATAACAAAAACTTCATTATCTGCCGTTTCTGTTCATTAACTCTCGCAAATATTATCCGATTGCCTTCAAACTTAGTAACATGGTTCAAGGCATTAAGGGCTCGGTCAAGTTAAACCTAACCTCAATAGTGTTCACCTACAATATGCAAGCGGGGGATATAAATTCCACGAATTTGCTTGTTTGATCATATTTCTGTTTTACTAAGCTTCATTGGAATAATGACAGATGAGGATCGATAACTTATCGAAAGAGCATGAAGGCCGCGAAAAGTTTTTTAATCCCAGTTTTCTTGCTACTAACTAAAAATGGCGAGTAAGTTATTCGACATTTGGAGAGAGCAAGTCGAATTTTGACTAAGTAACACGACAAATTGAAGAAAAAAAAACCGAAATACTTTACCTGGTCCTTTTACATTACTTATATTTTATTTTGTATACGTCATTTTTCTAATAGAGCGAGATACAAATATGTCAAGATATTCTTTGGAACTAGTATCAAGAACTATCAACTCGCAAATTGAACCCTTTGAATGGAATCTGTAACTGTATGTATGCTGTAATAGCCTAAGGCTATGTATCTCATACCGGTGGTGAAAAATGTTTGAAATTCTGATGAACCTAAAAATCTTCATTTTTTAATCAAAATAGGAATATAATTACCTTTATAAACAGCATAAGTCCTGTATAGATATCCAATAAGAAGAGTGACAATCAACTGGTATCTAACACCGCACATTTCCATTTATGTCCGTAATTTAAGCAGATGCCAAACATTAAAGCAACAAACTACTTTTCACAATAACTAAAATTTCTTTTGTCCATTTCCATTTGTATGCAGTCAAGTTCCGAACAAAAATTCCTGTAATACCGAATTTTAATATCTATCCCTTGAACTACACACTCGTTTATGGTTTAAATATATAAATCAAAATGGAATTCTAAACGTCCGTTGTTCCTCTTTCACGTTCCTGCGTGCGCTGAGTATTACATTCAAACGATGAAGGACACTAATGCTGTCCATGCATGTTGTGGTAGATCTAAACAAGGCATTGTGTATCAACAACAACCACTTGATGAAGCTCTAATTGTTTTACGACTTCAGGAAAGTGTTTCCCCCTCTCTGGGTATAATTTCACCAATAACGTTTGTGTACATTGATGTGTCGGACAAGAGGTCATTTAGTGTTCGCGGACATCTTCAATCGTCCCTCTATACAAGTTTATTGTCCAGTTCCAGGGTCTTAGTCCCGATATGTTATCAGTTGTGTTTTTATTGCTGTTTGACAGCAAGAAGTGTGAAGATTTTACAGGCGTACAATCAATGTGTAAATATAACAGCTCGTGTCTGAGTAATTACATCACTGATATTTGTTCAGTCACTTATTAACGATTACAATAGTGCAATAACAAAAACGTTTAATTGATTTGTATTATGATAGGCATTAAGCAACATCTTCTTTAATTTCCGCCGAGGTAAAAATTTGACAGATGCTGACTGCTGACGGACAAACTTACAACACAGGTTTTCAACATTTATAGTCGATATCACGATCTCATTAGAAAATATGATCTTCCCTTGTATAATATGAAGACAAATGTTTTTGATTGTATTTCGTAGTGTGTCATGTGTTAGTGGAAGTGTGTGTCATGTGTTAGTGGTAGTGTGCCATGTGTAAGTGGTAGTGTACCATGTGTTAGTGGTAGTGTGTCATGTGTTGGTGGTAGTGTGTGTCATGTGTTAGTGGTAATGTGTCATGTGTAAGTGGTAGTGTGCCATGTATTAGTGGTAGTGTGTCATGTTTTGGTGGTAGTGTGTCGTGTGTTAGTGGTAGTGTGTCATGTTATAGAAGTAGTGTGTCATGTGTTAGTGGTCATGTGCCATGTGTAAGTGGTAGTGTGTCATGTGCTAGTGGTAGTTTGTCATGTGTTTGTGGTAGTGTGTCATGTGTTAGTGGTAGTATGTCATGTGGTAGTGTGTCATGTGTTAATGGCAGTGTGTCGTGTGTTATTGGTAGTGTGTCGTGTGTTAGTGGTAGTGTGTAATGTGTTATTGGCAGTGTGTCGTGTGTTAGTGGTAGTGTGTCATGTGGTAGTGTGTCGTGTGTTAGTGGTAGTATGTCATGTGGCAGTGTGTCATGTGTTTGTGGTAGTGTGTAATGAGTTAGTGGTAGTGTGGCATGTGTTAGTGGTATTGTGTCATGTGTTAGGGGTAATGTGCCATGTTTTAGTGGTAGGGTGTCGTGTGTTATTGGCAGTGTGTCGGGTGTTAGTGGTAGTGCGTCATGTGTTGGTGGTAGTGTCATGTGTTAGTGGTAGTGTCATGTGGAAGTGTGTCATGTGTTAATGGCAGTGTGTCGTGTGTTATTGGAAGTGTGTCATGTGTTAGTGGTAGTGTGTGTCATGTGTTAGTGGTAATGTGTCATGTGTAAGTGGTAGTGTGCCATGTGTTAGTGGTAGTGTGTCATGTTTTGGTGGTAGTGTGTCGTGTGTTAGTGGTGGTGTGTCATGTGTTAGAAGTAGTGTGTCATGTGTTAGTGGTAATGTGCCATGTGTAAGTGGTAGTGTGTCATGTGTTAGTGGTAGTGTGTCATGTGTTATTGGGAGTGTGTCGTGTGTTAGTGGTAGTGTGTCATGTGTTAATGGCAGTGTGTCGTGTGTTATTGGCAGTGTGTCGTGTTTTAGTGGTAGTGTGTCATGTGTTATTGGCAGTGTGTCGTGGGTTATTGGCAGTGTGTCGTGTGTTAGTGGTAGTGTGTAGTGTGTTAGTGGTAGTGTGTCATGTGTTATTGGGAGAGTGTCGTGTGTTAGTGGTAGTGTGTAATGTGTTAGTGGTAGTGTGTCATGTGTTATTGGGAGTGTGTTGTGTGTTAGTGGTAGTGTGTAATGTGTTAGTGGTAGTGTGCCATATTTTGGTGGTAGTGTGTCATGTTTTAGTGGTACTGTGTCGTGTGTTAGTGGTAGTGTGTCATGTGTAAGTGTTAGTTTGTCATGTGTTAGTGTTAGTGTGTCATGTGTCATCAGTTAATAGTAGTATGTCATGTGGTAGTGTGTCGTGTGTGAGTGGTAGTGTTTTGCTGTCAACTCATTGGTTCTCGACTTGAAAACGTGACATTAGATGGATTTTCCTAGATTTACAAGGCGGGTACGTGTCGTCGATGACGTAGAAGACGCTTACTCTTCCTGAACTCGTGGTCCTATTCTCCTGGTACTTTTTCAATGGAATCCAATTATATATGGCCTCTGTCTTACTGTGTCTTTGTTTCGTCGGGTCCGAATTACGGTTTTGTGTTGTTTTCTCTTGTAAGTGTTCGTAAACTGTATGACCCTTTGGCAAATGGCTTTTTCCTGATATCCAAATTAAAACCCAAATCATAAGTGATCATGAGAAATAATGGCCGCGTCACAAACATTCTATAATAACGGTGTGTGAAATTAAATGAAAACAATAGTTTGTTAACATGTAATAGAAGCTTTCCTGACAAGACCAGAAAGCCATCTCTAGCTGTTTATCATAAGATAAAAATTTACATTATATGATAATGATTGATCAGGGTAACGCTTTGGTTTGGTTTGGTTTGGTTTTGTATTGTTTTACGTCCTATCAACAGATATCATTTAAGGACGGCCTCCCCTGTGTACAATATGCATGTGTGAAGTGTATGTGCGTGTGTTTTCGGAGGCTGCGATATGTTCGTGTTTGTCTCCTTGTGATAGCGCGGAACTGGTGCCGACTTTATAGTTCTACCTTACTGAAACATAGTGCCGGAGACACCCAGCAGGACACCCTACCCGGTCACATTATACTGACAACGGGCGAACCAGTCGTCCCACTCCTAAATTGCTGAGCGTTAAGCAGGAGTAGAAACTACCATTTTACAGACTCTGGTATGTCTCGGCCAGGAGACAGAACCCAGAGCCTTTCTCACAGGGGCGAGAATTGTCAAGGGAGACAATTCAGTTGCCTCTTACGATCATGCAATGGGGGCAGCAGGTACAATTCTTACGCCCTACCCGCAGGGACAAAAATGTCAAAACTGTAGAACCAATTCATTTTTTAAAAAAAATAGGAAATTTCGGGCATGCAATATTTGCCTCAAAAAATGGTGATTTTAATAGAACTGGATCAATATCCTCCAGAAATATCTGTTAATCTTATACACTTTATTTGTTATATCTATGTGTTAGAGTTCGTAAGGTCCTGGGTTTGAACCTTAGTCAGGCCGTGCATTTCCCCCTCCTGATACATCTACATAGGATTATGGTCGCCTTCTAGCTCAATCAGTTGAGCGGCAGACAGCTGGGAACCTTGGGTCGCTGTTTCGATCCCGGGAGAAGCATATTAGTCTTTTTCTCTCGCTTTCCTGTTAAACGGTGCCCGTAACGTTGTCCTCGCTTTTGGTGACATGGGAGTAATAACCTGTGCTTCTGTGGTGTTCGAGGGTAAAAGAAACAAGTGTGTCAGCGTACTTAGAGGGATGTTCCCTTCAGATCAATCAATTTTCTTCATGTGGACTATGGCCCGTTTCGCGTATCCGGTTCAAGCGGTTTATCTGTTTTTTTAAAAAATGTAATAATTTCGGGTATAAATCCTGGAAGACACGAAAATGTTTATGCAGGCCTTTCAATGCTTTGTCGAGGCTTTCCTGAAAGCAGCATCAGAGCAGAGGTACCTGAGAATTTGTTACAGCTATATTTGGACTTAAACTAAGGTGTTCAGAGTATTTTTTTCATGTTTTAGGGGTTTAGATCGAAAAAAATACACCCCCAATTATCATAAATCCGAGCTCGGATAGATCTGTATGATCATTGGGAGTGTCCTTTTTTTTTACCGAAAGTCGATCTAAACCCCTCAAACATAAAAAATTACTCTGAACACATAAGTTTAAGGTTTACCGTTTATAAATGTAACAATTTCGGTTATATGCAGGCCTTGCAAGGCTTTCTTAGGGCTCGCCTGATAGCAGCATCAGATTACTAGGTCCGACCTTATTTAATAAACGAACCATTGTGGTCCGTTTGGATCGCGATAAACGAATACAGCCTTTGTGTTTGCTGTAAAATATTTTATCCTTTATCTTCATGGTTTGTNCGCATCTGTCGTCTGCCATATTTGTTTACCTCGGCTTCCTGACATTGTACTTCCGGTTCTATTTTTATGATTGCGGTCACGTGATTTTGAAAAATCACGTGACCACTACCCTGCTTCCCCTTAATTCTGACATAAGAAGAGTCATAAAAAACCATAATGTATGCCTTTTTAAAACAAATGATAGTCTTTTTATATTACTGCTATAATTGATTATTGGATTTCAGACTCCTTTGATTTTTATCATATTCATTATTTGCACTGAATGACCCGACTATTAAAATTATCCGGAAAACTTATCCGTGTTTTACCCTCACTCACGTTAATTAGAATTACCTCCCCTTTAGACGGTGTAAACTTCCTGTCGTGTCACACATGCACTGTCTACATCCTACATCAGTACATCACCAAATCGTCAAATGAGAGAGCTCAACGCTCCGCGACGAATGAATGATGGCTGCGGTGGACAAGATCGTCGTTGTGGGAGACTCTGGTGGGTAAACATTGGGTGGTGCACTAAATATTTACAAACATCACCAGACCTCACCAACCACAGCCGGGCACAGGGGTTTGTTACAAATGTCTGAAATACACATATGCTATACTGATATGGGTCACAGCCCACAGCGTATGTTTATGTGTGCTGTAACCCATATCAGTATAGCATATAACAAACAAACATAGCAGACAAACCCAACAATGATAATTAAACTAAAACCAACAATTACAACTAAGCTCAAACCAACAATGATAAATAAACTAAAACCAACAATTACAACTAAGCT